GGGGAGCGGCTGCGTAGTTGTTTGTGAACTGCGCTACCAATCCTGTGTGACCGGAGTACTATTTCTGGCCACAGCCAACAACAGTGGAAAATATTAGAACCAGTGTTGAGCTTCCCTTAAGTTGATTCTGTCTTAAAATGAGTACTTGATGAAGTGTGTGAAAATCATCACTGGCGAGATAAAGGTGCACACCACCCCCACAGGCACTGTGCCACCCTTCATAGATGCACTTGTCTCAGTCTGTGAAAGGCTACACAGGGAATCTTTGTAGTGGTGACATGGCCGAGTGTAAGTGTTTGCTGATTGTTGCGGTAATTTGCGGCTGCCCAGGTGAATACTGTGGGTGCATTAACTGCACATCATAAATGTTGCCTGCTGCATAGTGAACGTAAAAAAACCCATTAAGTAATTCAAAAAAGTGTCTCGGTATAATTTGCCAAATGTTCAAAAATTACTCAAATGACTTAATTTAATTGGGAAAAACGACGTAACAATATAATATCCCTAGGCTTCAGGTCCCCGGAATAGTTGACCTGAGATGTAAAGCACTTTAAGATGCTGCCATATTATATTTAGTAAGCACCCTTTACATGCAAATCCTGAAACTGAAAATCCTTTACCTGTGTGTGGACGTGTGCAGCACGTGGTGTTACTCACGAAGGCCTGCATTGCATACATCATCCCGGACACGCCATCCCATGTGCGCGCCTGCATGCGCCGCGAGCGCTTCGTCGTACAGACGATTCTGCAGCAGGCAGAGCTGGGCCGTCTCCGTAACACCCTCCTCACCGATGCCCCCAGCTCACCGCCATCTCCTCAATTCCACGTTGAGGATGAGCAGGCAGAGATGGGCCTGCTTCGCTGCTCGCTGCATAAGGAGTCTCCTGGCGTATTGCACCCACCCCAGCCGTGCCACATGGAGAATGAGCAGGCAGAGAAGACTGGTGACGACTCACTGCTGAAGGGATCCGAGGAGGAATCAAGCAACGAGGATTCGTCAACTGTCTTCTACAGCGTATAAATCTACTCTGACTTTTAAAGGAGGCTGCTATCCTAACTCTGTTTGCACGTGGACAAGGACATTGCAGTCGAGGACTATCTGTATATATATTAATAAATACGTTTATGATTTAACATGTCTCAATCATCTCATGTCTTTTCATACGAATCACGATGTGAATGAGGAAAACTAGAAATTATTGTTATTTTGTATATATTTTAAATTTTGGTTTAACATGTAGGCTTTCGCGCCCAATATCATCCATAGAGGTGTTTTTTTGGATTAGATCGCATACATATATAAACGTGTCGTTAAAACCCGCCACCACTCGACACAGCCAACTAGTAAGGGTTGTCACGGAAACAGAACAAGCCAATTCGTCACTGGTACTTTGGAGAGCCAAGCCACAACATTTACAATCGGAGTACGACGTTTTGCCAGTAATTACAACTAGCTTCATCAGGCGACAGCCAGATTTGTGGCACTCTCGCGCAAAGTGGGGGGGGGGGAGATTACCGAGTCAACGTACATTATGCATGTGCATTATGAGAGCCCTTTGATCTTGTCCTTCCTGTCTATTGTGTATTAAAATAGCCGTACCAATGGTAATCCCTATTGAAGTATGCTGCCCTTTATAGGCATGCATTTAAATAATGTATTATTTGTTGGCACCCGTGTTCAGCAGTAGCAGAACACACGTGCCAACAAGGACACTCAGTTGATTCTAATGTTGAAGTTCTGTGCAAAACTAGCTACTACTGCCCAAGAATAATTCGAGAATCTATCGAAATTGGAAGAAAAATTTACAGTTCGGATAGCTACCGCCTTTGTGCTGTGTGGAAGCGACTCATCAAATAGTACATTAGATGAAACTCCGAGTACCCACTCAGGAGGTATAGTGGTAAAACAGTGGAGGAAAAAAAAGCAATTTTTTTTAATTTGCCCTTGTTGAATGATAGAGTCGATACACACAGCAAGCGAGATTAAGAAAGCGCATCGGAAGAAATACCGGAGGAGAGAGAGAAGACAATTGCTTGCTGCAGAAGGAAAGGCATTCCTACCGAGGGAGACAAGTTGACAAAGATTTTGATCATGGGAACCGGTGGCGTGGCTCGATCTTCCCTATGTGCGCAACACGCTACCGAAGGAAAACAGAAAATCCTATTCAAAGGCTAAAATAAGCTCCATTTTTTGTATAAGAGCCCGATAAACAATAACCCCATCCATAGACTGAGGAAGAAAGGGAAGAGCCTGAACAAAGGGGAGGAGATTACGACGGAGATGGGTTGGAGGTGGAGAGAAGGGGAGAGGGGAGGCCGTAAAGGCAGCTGCACATTCAAGGAAAGCGGTGTAGAAAGAGTTGAACGGGGACATGGAGACAGCAGAGACAAGGGTGGAGAAAGAGGAAGAGAGGATCTTTCAGTGCTCGCTACAGGAAACCCACAAAACTGAATTTCCTAAACTCGTGTCGCCTCCGTGACAGCAGCACCACGAACGCCACAGACTCACGCTCCCCAAATCGACAATACCATCTCCATTGCCGACCAGCCACGAGATGGTTGCTCTCAACACCTCGGTCGTGGTGTAAGCAGCAAAAGACTTCCGGCTGGTGAGCATCCGGCCATTACGAGGGTTGGAAAGAAACTGAAGCACGGGGCGACTCCCACAACCTTCGGGTATTTCCAAACTGGATGACGTCTTGGGATGAAGCTAGAAGTAAGCCAAATCTGCACTCAATAAATGGGACAAAGATTCCAGAGAAGCCTCCAGAAATGTCACAGGAGGCTCGGGTGTGAGAAACCAGACTCCATGTGGGGTCCTCCAGACCTTTGCCCTCCAGTTCATCAACATTTGTAAAAGCAGGACGTCTCAAAGGTACGTAGCATGGGTGAGGTACGAGGTTGAGAACCACGTTCCGAGATTAGGCGCTTTGACAGGTTGGGGTCCGAGTAACTTTTAATGGAGCTCACCCTACGACATTACAGATAGAAGGATAGTGTGCCGGCACAATCCGGACACCCTGCTACACCGAAACAATCTGCTGCATCAAACTCCCTGGTACAGCTAAACACTGGCACGATTGCGCTCAAATACACACAAACTCTCGCTCGGCCAGTTGGTACACAGGTTGTCAGTTGTGGGGGACTGCGGGCCCCCGGCTCCCCCCCTCGGGGGAGGGCTGATCTCGAGAGGGCTGCGGGCTCCGGACTCCTCGCTCGAGTGAGAGCAGCCGCTACTCGACTCCTCGCTCGCGGTGAGAGGGCTGCCGCTCTCCGGCTCCTCTCCTCGCGCCGCAGCCCCTCGGGTCCGCGGGTCCTGTTTGTGGGGCATAGCTCGGGGCTGGCACGTGGCTGCCTGGAATCAATCCGTCGCTTCTCAGCCACTCAAACGCGACGTCTCCGCTCACACAACCCCGCGCACCACTCACACGAACTAAACGGGGGGTCAGGGGTCAGAGGGCAATGACGTCCTTCGCACACGCGTTGCCGCCGATGCCGGGCAATGGAGATTGTTTAAAGGGCTGCGGGGCGGGGATTTGGAGTCGGTTTTAGAGCGACACACCAATCGCACGCGCGGGACGGGGGGGTCGGGGGTCAGAGGGCAGGGACGTCACTCGTACACGCAGTAGCCGATTGGGGGGCTGTATGGGAGGTTATTTAAAGGGCTGTGGGGGCGGATATTCGGGATTGGTGTTAGCCCGCAGTCACGAAAGCTTTAAATCGAAATTTATGTTAAGTGTAATGTGTTGGTGTTAATAAATAGTGTTGCCTCCCAAGAAGTTGTGTGCGCCTATCTCAGCCCATTACATATAAGTGTAGATGTGATTATGTAATTCTTGTGTTCATACAAGTGTAGTGACACAGCGCTGACTGCTGTCCAGCAGCGGCAACTGCAGTGGAAAGTTTGCGCACACGCCGTTGAGCATATATACGGGTGTGCCGGCCGGGCAGAGGAATTGGGGCAAGGGTCATGGAAGACCTCATAGGGAAGCCTCTGGAACCCTCTGGTCGGTTCGAGAAGGGAGGCGTGGATAGGGCAGAGCCAAGCCGCACCGAGTAGAATATAGAATATAATATAAGCAGCGGAGAGCGACAGCTCCGGGCTGCCGGTTCTGGGAGTGGACTCGTCTCGACGTCGCTGTCGTTGCCACCGCATTCGCCCAATCATTGCGTGGCCAGACAGTCGTTGGCCTTCTCGGTCGACGCCGTCGGTGCAACACGGACAGGGTCGTGTCTAGGCCGGGCTCTATGGCAACGTGGTCGAGAGAGTGAGGCCGGAGTTGGTGTGAACAAGATAATAAAGAGACGATGTCTCCTGCAACTACCTCGTCTCCGACAGTGTGTGCGACACACACCACACGTCGGAAGGAGAACACTTCACAAGTATAAATGCTGCCTGTGTCAGTCGAGTCACATTTGCTCTAATTTATTTTGATGGTGACCTAAGACAGGAGAAGCAAAATGCACTTCTTCAGGAAGTGATATTTTTTTCATAATGCAGAGGCTGTGCCTGATACACATCTTTCACTGTGTTGTTTGGCAACCCTGGTGCCCAGTAAACGCCATATGGCCAGATCTTTGCATTGAATTCCAAGTATTAATTCCTCCATACTTGTGCACAGTTGAGTTTTTATTCCATTCCCTTCATGAACCATGTTTTTGAACTTTACATCATAGTAAGATAGTACATGCCGATGAATAATTAATAGATGCTTGAAAACATCTATCCCCCACCATCTGCCTGTGTTTGGCCTAAAACCCAATCACCCAGAATGCCCAAATTCACCTTACATACTCTAGGAATGTAAGCAGGTTAATGCCTGTATATCATCACAATCATCACTCCCAAATGTGAAGACATGTCACGAGACTCGCTGACTTTTCTTAAAATACTTGAGAAATACAAATCATAGCTGAATATTTTCAATTCCATGTGTATAAGCCTTTGTCTCAGATTTATTGTAAAATAAATATACATGTACAATATAAACATTCAAATATCAGAAAATATTTAATGTATGTTGAATTTCTTTCACACTGTACATAACCAACCATGCTAAACAAGACATGATAAAAACAATCCAAGTCATGGGTTGCATACAATATGCAACTTTGGTTTATTGATTACAAATTACATAAAAGGTTCTGAAATTTTACAATACAGGTATAGTGCAATCTAAATAAGCAAATGTACTTTTACAGTGATTTCCCAAATGTTTATAACTACACAAATACTAGCATGTATGTTCCCAATAAAGTAGTCTCCTTCCAAAATGGCTAAAACCAAAATTAGTTTAGTTGTGCTCACAATATTGTTCACATATCCGTTCTATTTCAAGTGACATTTGAGTCTGTATGGATTTGCTGTGCAAAATACTGCTGCAACCATTCAATAACTCCAACCCTGAACGAACTTTATCACATTTTTCCAATACTTTGTTGTGGCACTTCCATTAACAGGGCAATTACTGTGCCCCATGGGCCCCACAAGTTCACAAGTAATTGCGATTCACACCACAGCACCTGAAGTACCATTGATGTTTAACAACCATGAATTAGCAGGACCAAGCGAACGTATCCTTCTGAGTAGAAACCTCGACCACCGCCATAAAATGCTTTCGGGCTTTCTACATCACGGGTAGTCAGCCATCCTTGTTCTCCTTGATGGTGTCAACCAGCTCTTTCAGACGCGACAGGTGGTACACGGCCCTGAGAAGAGACACGATTGAGAGAAAATTACTTGGTTGACTTATTATCAATGGTGGAAGCCAGAAAAATCTCACCAAGTCTCAGGAGGGTTTGGCAGTGATATTTTGCAAATTTCATCAGCGAGTGGTATGTGAGAGGAAATCGGAGAACCCGGTGAAAACAGAGGGAGTAAAATGCAAAACTCCGGATATAGATTCAAGATTCCATTGCCTGTATTACTAACTCCTGGTTACCTAGCAGCCAAAATCTATAATATATGCTATTTCAAAACAGTCTCCCATCCAAGTAATAACCAGGCTTACCTGCTTAGCTTATAACATTCATAATCTGACATCATACTTAGAGGCGGTGCAGCCTCTATGCTGTGCGTGAGTGTGGATATAAAGATAAATTCACAATGGCGTGGAGGGGTTTTCCCAGGGACGATCAGCCCCTAGGAAAGACGTCCGTGTTGAAGCTGCCCGGGGAGGGGGCCTCCAAGCCGGGGGAGTCCAACTCCATGTGCGCCCTGCTCAGCAGCTCCTCCAATGAGGCTGTGCATCAAGAATCACGCATCGCACGTCACAACCACATGGGTGGCCGCTCAGCCGTCTCTGTGAGAAAAGACTGAATATGTACCTGAAAACATATGAAATGTCATCTGCTATATACAGACTATATATATACACACACCTAGGGATCTATTGTCCTCTGACACGGGCTCCTCGTTGGCTACATTCGTAAGGCCGGAGATAGTCCAAATCTTTGAGCCACTCTGGGTACTTTGGTCTGCTTTGCGGGCTCTGAGCGGCACCTGCTCTCTTCGTGCTGGTATCCGTCTCGTGGCTGCTGGTCTGGGAGTCCACATCGCAGTCACGCAGCCAGGCCGGGTACCTGAGCTCAGGAATGCTCGTGATCCCCGACACATCCAGCTTATCCTTTTGGCTTGTCAACCACCTGGGATAGGTACTTGTCGCACAGCCGCCGTTCGGCAAGTGCTCACGCCTAGTTGCTTCACTGCTCCGTAAGTACAACAAAACATTCTTCTGGTTAGAAAAGAAATAATTTTCGGGCTTTGCCGACAAATTTAATGGCATCACGGCCTTGTTGCTTCTCGCTGTTGAGCTCAACCGTTTCAGTTGGCTTATTGCCCCTCACCAATGATGCGCCGAGGCTGTGCGCGGTGACCCCGAGAGATGACCGCTTGCCTCTGTGCGACACTGCGAGGTCTCGGTGGGCGCCAGGCGAGCGGAGCAAGGACTTGGAGGAACCGTCAACTGGCGCCTGCTAGGAGCTGGTCCGTGGTTAGACTGACCGTCGGGCTATGAGCCACGACCGCTGCAGCGCAGCAGTGAGGCTGCACGTGCCCTGAGATGAGGTCCTCCACAAGCAGCATGCCACCTGCAATGTAAGACCCACAGACATTTTACTGGTACACAATGAATTTGCTCTCCCCTAGATTCCTTGACCCCTGAACGGCAATCCTGCAATGTTGCCTTACTTTGCACCATCAGTAACTAATGATGTTATCCGTTTGTGGAGTTTGTGAGAATATGGGATAAATCAGTGCATGAGCTGTTATTGTTTAAACTTCAGATGTGTCCAGTCTAGGATCTGCAAATTTTGACACAAAGGTTGGAGGATCACTTAGATTTCACAAACTTTACAAACTCGATAATCAGTGAAGTTGCTGGAAGATGACAGGAGAAAGAAATGCATGCACCGACCTATCTGTTCAGACCTATGCTATCCTCTCATATGCGTGTGCTTACTGTGGATAGTTTTCTCTGACATAAAATGAACTCATTAATGGAATTTGCCAAGCATCCCAGTGTGGGACTCTCACGAAAATGTATCTTTAGACCTTATTAAGGGCTTTTTTTCTAGGGGAATTACATTACATTCATGATAGCATAGCATAATTGACAAGCACCCAGTACAAGCAAATAAATGGGGTTCTCCTCTCCAATTATCCCCCCCTCCAGTCAACTAGCTTCGATACCTTATGAGACCTCCTTTGCCAGTAACAAGATATAGTAATAGGTTTTTACCCTTTTATCTGGCACAAAAACTGACACTTTTATACAAGGGATCATGTTTGCGATAACCACAACGCAAGTAGTCAAAATGCAAACAAGAAGACGCTAAGAATAAGAAGACGCCTTTTGGCGTCTTCTGGTCCAACACCAGTGGAGACTGGGATCTCAGAAAAGCCGTCTCGGGTGTGGACCAATCAAATTCAAGGACAGTGCATATTATCAGTTGTCTTTTTTGTTTGCATTTTGACTACTTGTGTTGTGGTTATTGCAAACATGATCCCTTGTATAAAGGTGTCAGTGTTTGTGCCAGATAAAAGGGTAAAAACCTATTACTATAGCTTCGATACCATTGCACCGCCTGCACACTCGATAGCCACTCGAGCGCAAGCACCACGGAGCGATTCCTCGCGTGGTGAGAGGCGCAACCCACCCTCATCCACACTGCTGCATCCTCCTCTCCTCCGCGCGTCTCCGCTCCGCCATGCTGCGCGGCGCTGTGCTCTGCACGTATCCTGGGTGGCGGTGACGCACAGATTCCGCTCTGCTCAAAGTCCTCGATGTAGGCGTCCAGCGCACCGCTCGCCTACGAGCAGCACTGCTCTCCGCACACCACAGGGCTGCGCTAGCCCCCGCTTCCGGTCCGGAGCAGCGAGCTGCCCTGGCTGCCGCGAGGGCTTGTGTCCGTCACCGTGCTGTCGCCCGAAGGGCTGTTTGTCTCACCACCGTTGCAGTTCATTTTGTACGATTTGGGATGCCCGGACCGGATGGGGCCAGGGAGAGGAATGGCTGTGGCTACCAGGTCACCACTGGTCCTGGTATGGGGGGCACCATGAGGAGCTGCTGTGTGCGGAAAGTGGGTCCGACGTCACAACGCATGGGCCAGTGTCGACCACTTCGCGTTAGCAGCTTCAGCGTTAGGTCTCTTAAGCTACTGTGGCTGTTGTCCTTTTTTCAACAAAAATTCCAGCCTTTCCCATGCTTTCCTTCATCACACCTGCAAGCTCTATGTACAATTGAAGTGTCATAAATGCACTACCTGCCTACTACTACATTATGAATGATATACATTTAAGAATTAGCTGGAGACAACTCCATGTTTAAAACACACTGTATTCAAAAGAGAAGGCTTAACATTTAACATTGGTTAACGTTTGGCATGTACACCTGCATATCAACAAATTACCGTACTACTAATACAATGAATGCTAAATATTAATAGTGGTATTACAGTAGTATGACTACTTATATTTATATATTATCGCACCTCCGAAGAGCACGGTGGGCTTGGTACGGTGCGAAAGAGATTCAACACACATACAGAATACAATACTTTCCGAGCACATTATGCATACCGAACCTCCAAGTTCCTTACCCTACCCTGAATAACAACGTGTGCGGAGTACAGCTCCTTTTTCAATCCATTGCTGGCTGACAGCTGTCCCATGCTATGCAGCTCCCAGGGGGAGGGGTTATTTACCATACTTCACCACGCTGGTCAGTGTGAATTTGGTGATGGCAGGGGGCTATAGAAGTGCATTACAACCATGTACTGAACATTGCTGCACAATGTCAGGGGGCTATAGAAGTGCATTACAACCACGTACTGAATATTGCTGCACTGATGGCAGGGGGCTATAGAAGTGCATTACAACCATGTACTGAATATTGCTGCACCGGTGGCAGGGGGCTATAGAAGTGCATTACAACCATGTACTGAATATTGCTGCACTGATTGCAGGGGGGTATAGAAGTGCATTACAACCACGTACTGAATATTGCTGCACTGATGGCAAGGGGCTATAGAAGTGCATTACAACCACGTACTGAATATTGCTGCACTGATGGCAGGGGGCTATAGAAGTGCATTACAACCACGTGCTGAATATTGCTGCACTGATGGCAGGGGGCAATAGAAGTGCATTACAACCATGTACTGAACATTGCTGCACAATGTCAGGGGGCTATAGAAGTGCATTTACAACCACGTACTGAATATTGCTGCACTGATGGCAGGGGGCTATAGAAGTGCATTACAACCATGTACTGAATATTGCTGCACCGGTGGCAGGGGGCTATAGAAGTGCATTACAACCATGTACTGAATATTGCTGCACTGATTGCAGGGGGGTATAGAAGTGCATTACAACCACGTACTGAATATTGCTGCACTGATGGCAAGGGGCTATAGAAGTGCATTACAACCACGTACTGAATATAGCTGCATTGGTAGCAGGGGCTATAGAAGTGCATTACAACCACGTGCTGAATATTGCTGCACTGGTGGCAGGGGGCTATAGAAGTACATTACAACCACGTACTGAATATTTCTGCACTGATGGCAGGGGGCTATAGAAGTACATTACAACCACGTACTGAATATTGCTGAAGTGGTGGCAGGGGGCTATAGAAGTGCATTACAACCACGTACTGAATATTGCTGCACTGGTGGCAGGGGGCTATAGAAGTGCATTACAACCACGTACTGAATATTGCTGCACTGATGGCAGGGGGCTATAGAAGTACATTACAACCATGTACTGAATATTGCTGCACTGATGGCAGGGGCCCACCGCGCGCTGAACTCCGCGTTCCCGTCTGCGGCCCTGGCGAAGGCGAGGTACTCGTGTTCCAGTCGCAACCTCGCCCTCACCAGGCCCCGCAGCGTCGCCACCGCCGAACAGCCGCTGTCCGCGGCGCCCTGCAGCTTCCTCTTTCGCGACATATTAACCGCCAGCCTGGCCTGAGAGCAGGCAAAGTTCACCAGGTCGTGGCGTTTGCCGGCTGTGTAGGGGGCCCGGTGCACCATCCAGCCCCTTCGGAAGGCCATCCCCAGTTTCCTGGAGATGGCCCCGAGGAGCTGGTACAGCGGTGCCAATCGCGGGCAGGTTAGGTACAGGTGTTCTAGGTCCTCCCGCTCGGCGCAAAACGAGCACTCCTCCGACGCCCCCGGGGTGACTCGGCTGAGCCACGCGGCCGAGGGCAGCGCCCAGTGGAGCGGCCGCCACCGCAGGTCCCCGCAGCGCTTGCAATGGGGGGCCTGTAAATCCGGCCCCACTGGGGGGCCTGCCTCCTCGGACGGCGCGAGCACGCCCCTCCACTTCGTATCCGGGAGCACCCCCAGCTCGCGGCAGTGCAGCGCCTTGACGCTGCACTCGTACAGCGTCTTCTTGCACGTGCCCCGGAAGGCCACGTCCCGGCAGCCGGCGAGCCGCAGCAGCCACCCGGAGTCACCGCCGTCGCGCTCGGGGGGCCGGGCGCACGCAAAGCTCAGCTCTGGGAAGGGAGGGGGGAGGGGGGATGGGGGGAGGGGGAGGGAGGGAGGGGGGGGGGGGGGGGGAGCGGGGGGGGGAGAACTCGGGCGTGTCCAGCCGCAGCCGCGACTGGCGCATCGCTTCGAGTGCCGCCCGCAACAACTTCGCCCCGGCCAGCACGGTGCGGAGCCCCGCCGCCCCGCTGATATCGGCCGCGGGTTTCCACGCGGGGTGCCCGCCGCGGTCCCGCACCAGGTCCGCCACCGTCCGCACCCCCGCCGAGGCGAAGCGGCGGGCCAGCGCCGCCTCCTCCCGGATCCCCGCGAAGCGGCCGTTGTGGAACAGGGGCTCGTGCAGAAACTCCCCGAGCGTGCTGCCGCGCGGGCTCACCCTGCTCCACGCCATGCTCCGCCACGCGTCCAGGAGGCTCCGCTGGAAAACCGGCAGTCTCCCGTAGTCCACCTGGGCCAGGTCCATCAGGAATAGTTCGCGCCCATAGCCCAGGCCGCCACCGGTGTCTCGCAGCAGGGCGAGGGTGGGCGCCACCCAGGGCGCGGCCTCCCCGCCGTGCAGCAGCCGCCGCACGGTCTGGAGTCGGAAGGTCAGGACCCTGGCGGTGACGTCCACCAGGCCCTGACCGCCCTCGTCCACCGGCAGGCGGAGGACCCCCGGCCTCAACCAATGTTTGCCCTGCCACGCAAAGCGGGTGAGCAAGCGCACCACAACCACGAGCAGCCACTCCGGGGGCTGGAGGGCCTTCGCCCTGTGCCAGAGGACCGCGGCCGCCAGGTTGTTGCCCACCAGCACCCGCCCCCTGAAAGATAATGCCGGCGCGAAGCGCGCCCACGCCGCCAGCCTGGCCTCGAACCGGTCCCGTAGGTCGGTCCAGTTCTCCCGCGTGACGTGGGGCTTCCCGAGGTGGACGCCCAGGTACCTGACGCCATCGGTTTGCCAGGCGACGCCTCCTGGTAGGAGCACCGGGCACGCGGCGCCCCGCAGCCCCAGACGCA